TTCCTCTTGAAAACTTTTTATTATGAGGATAACCACATGTCACAAGGGTTTTTGCAATGAAATACCATCATATTCATGTGTCCCAGCCGGGTCAACTTACCCCTGCCGGCGACAATTTCTAGCCGAATCTGATATTTCCACCTAACTTGGAAAATGTGTGCTGTTTCATGGGTAATCGAAAGCATAGGGGAGCTCACCTGCCCCGTTGGTGAATGGTCTCGAGATGGAACTACCTCGTGGTAAAGAGGACGATGATGCAAACGGCAAGAATAAGTAAGCCGGGTAATGTCTTTGCGAAAAGGCACATGAAGAGGTATTTCAGTTGGAAAACCAGTCATCATCAGTATGGTAGTCGTAGTATCGCTTTGGCTATCAGTCAGCCACAGCTATTCATAACCCATTTTCTCGAAAATGAGTTAGAACCTCGGATTCCGCTGGGGTGACGTCTCTAGGGGTTATTTGACCCCCTGAACACGAATATGATACCTGTTTTGCGCGAAGAGCGCTGTGAGTTGCGCTACAGGTGCTAACGCTTTGGCGCTGGCGCGCCCGGAAGAAGAAAAGCAATAAAGAAAAACCTCACAACTCCGCTCAGAGAATCGTTCCGCAAATTTTAAAGATAGTCTTGTGTTCATCGTGGCAAGGTGAGTACAATGATGTACATTTCGTTGCAAATGGCCGGGCTGACGTGTTGGCCTTTCCTGGTCAGCTTGTGCAAACACAGCAAAGATTAAACCGCCGTCCGTAACTCCCTTCAGAAAATCGTTCCGCAAAATCGGAGGGCAGATTCGGATTCAGCGGCTCAAGACACGTCCATACGTATACATCTCATTGTAAATGGCCGGATCGACCTGTTGGGGTTCCCTTGGCTGAGGCTTTCAGGCGGCTCTATACAGAAATAAAATCGTAGCTGTCGGTGTATATTGCCTGTTCCTCGGCAATCAGATCGACAAATGGATGATACCACACAACTACAAGAAGGCCACCGTTGCTCGTCATAGTGCCAGACCCCGAGTAACTGTATTGTAGGGCAGTGCTGGGACACAAACAATACTGAGACCTGGGTTCAATCGCCCCATTCGCCCAACATAAAGCCGTTCGATTCCAACTGTTCTGGTCAGTGAGGGTACTTTCCGACGGCAAACGCTACAATGTTTTGTCATTCGCCGAAATTGGCATCAACAGCAATTTACTCGCACTTGTTAAAAAGTCGAAGGTATGTAGTAGAGGTCCAAACAGGGTACAGCATGGGGATGTGCGAAATGGCGGTGTGAGTACGACCCCCCCCCCTCCTGCTCTAACTGACAACCAGATGCATGTTCACCACAAATGGCTTCCTGAAATGGAATCTGGATTTTCGAAAGGCGCACTCTGCTCTAAAATACAGGCAAATAAAAGGCTGTTTCAGCCTCATGCAATATGAGGCTGAACAACAGCCTCGCATTACCTACAATTTTGTCTTAGGATTCAAAATAAAACTCCTCGTTCGATAACTATGTATGACATGCAACTTGTAACAAGGAACACAATTGAAATAGCGACTAATGGTGTTCATTGATAAGCTGAATTGCTGAAAAAA